AAAAAAACCAGCCCAAAACCCCAAAAAAAACCAGCCCAAAACCCCAAAAATCCACCCCAAAATCAAAGCAGGAGCGGGGAGATTCATCCCCAGGCCTGGCTGATCATGGAGCTGCATTTTGGGGCTTTTTGGGGGATTTTGGGGCTTTTTTTTGGGAAAAAAATTGGATTGGCAGAAATCCTCCCCGGCTGCATTTTGGGGACAGTCTGGGGATTTTTTTGAGGTCATTTTGGGGCTTTTTTTGGGAGGGATTTGGACACACAAAAATCCTCCCTGGCTGCATTTTGGGGGCAGTTTGGGGATTTTTTTGGGGTGATTTTGGAGGAGTTTTTTGGGGGGAGATTTGGACACACAAAAATCCTCCCTGGCTGCATTTTGGGGGCAGTTTGGGGATTTTTTTGGGGTGATTTTGGAGGAGTTTTTTGGGGGGAGATTTGGACACACAAAAATCCTCCCTGGCTGCATTTTGGGGACAGTTTGGGGATTTTTTTGAGGTTATTTTGGGGGAGATTTGGGCACACAAAAATCCTCCCCGGCTGCATTTTGAGGACAGTTTGGAGATTTCTGGGCACACATCCAGGACAGCCTGGGGGGACCCTTTTGGGGAGGGGTCTGGGGGTGCCCTGAAACCCCCTGAAACCCCCCAAAACCCCCCCAAAACCCCCCAAAACCACCCCAAACCCCCCCTGCAGACGGCGTTCCCGCTGATCGACAGCATCGACCCGCACGGCTTCGTGTCCTACCGGCTCTTCCGCGACGCCACGCGCTACATGGACGGCCACCACGTCAAGGTGGGGGCTCCCCCCGCCCCCCGGGACCCCCGATTTGGGGCGGAAAGCTCAGGGTTTGGGGGGTCCCCGCAGGACATCTCGTGCCTGAACCGCGACCCGGCGCGCGTGGTGGTGGTGGATTGGCGCCGCGACGCGTTCCGGCTGCAGCCGCACAACGGGCTGGCGCTACCGCGCTGGGACGGCGGCTCCGAGGACAGGGCGCTCTTCGACCTGGCTGCCTTCCTCAAGAGTGGGTGAAACCTCCCAAAATGTCCTGAAATGGCCCAAAAATGTCCTGAAACGCCCCCAAAACCCAGCCCAGACCCAGCCAGAATTCACCAAACCCACCCAGAATTCACCAAACCCACCCAAACCCCGGCGGCTCCGAGGACAGGGCGCTCTTCGACCTGGCTGCCTTCCTCAAGAGTGGGTGAAACCTCCCAAAACGGCCCAAAAATGTCCTGAAATGGCCCAAAAATGTCCCGAAACGGCCCAAAAATGTCCCAAAAATGCCCAAAAATGTCCTGAAATGGCCCAAAAATGTCCCAAAATGGCCCAAAAACGCCTCTAAACCCACCCAAAATCCATCCAGAGCCGCCCAAACCCACTCAAAATTCACCAAAACCTGCCCAAAATCTGCCCCAAATCCCTTAAATCCACCCCAAAACCCCCCAATTTCCCACTAAATTTCCCCCTAAATCCTCCCAGAATCCCTAAAATACCCCAATTTCCACCCCAAACCCCCCAATTTTCCCCCAAATCCCCCAATTCCCCGGTCCCGGCCCCGTTTTGGGGCGAATAAAGTCGGAAATGGAGTCTGGGGGTGCTCTGCTGTGAGGGGGAGGGGATTTGGGGGGAACCCCGCGGGTTTGGGGGGTTTGGGGGTCAATCCCCGATTTTGGGGCTGAATTCCCATTTTTGGGGCTGAATTCCCCATTTTTGGGGTGGTTTTGGGGCTGAATCCCCCTTTTTTGGGGTGGTTTTGGGGCTAAATCCCCATTTTTGGGGCTGAATTCCCCATTTCTGGGAGATTTGGGGGCTGAACCCCCTTTTTTGGGGTGGTTTTGGGGCTGAATCCCCATTTTTGGGGCTGAATTCCCCATTTTGGGGTGGTTTTGGGGCTGAATTCTCCCTTTCAGGGTCTCAATCCCCCTTTTTGGGGCTGAATCCCGCAGATTTGGGAGATTTTGGGGCTGAACCCCCTTTTTTGGGGTGTTTTTGGGGCTAAATCCCCATTTTTGGGGCAGAATTCCCCTTTTTGATGCGGGTTTGGGGCCAAACCCCGCTGGTTTGGGAGATTTGGGGCTGAATCCCCATTTTTGGGTGGTTTTGGGGCTGAATCCCGCATTTTTGGGGCTGAATTCTCCCTTTTTGGGTTGGTTTTGGGGCCGAATCCCCTTTTTTTGGGTCACAATCTCCTTTTTTTGGGTCCAAATTCCCCTTTTTTGGGGTTGAATCCCCCTTTTTGGGGCCGAATCCCCTTTTTTTGGGTCCAAATTCCCCTTTTTTGGGGTCACATTCCCTTTTTTGGCGAGTCGTGGGCGTGGTTTGTGCGCAGCGGGCGGGGCCGGGAGCAGTGGGCGGGGCTTTGGCGCCTTCAAATGGGTCTGGGGGCGGCGCGGGGCTCAGAGGCCGCCGAGCCCCGGCCCCGACGGGACCCCCGGGGCCCCCCACCCCGACGGGACCCCCCCCCCCCCCCCGCCCCGGCTTGGGGCTGAACCCCCTTTTTTGGGGTGGTTTTGGGGCTGAATCCCCATTTTTGGGGCTGAATTCCCCATTTTTGGGAGATTTTGGGGCTGAACCCCCTTTTTTGGGGTGGTTTTGGGGCTGAATCCCCATTTTTGGGGCTGAATTCCCCATTTTTGGGAGATTTTGGGGCTGAACCCCCTTTTTTGGGGTGGTTTTGGGGCTGAATCCCCATTTTTGGGGCTGAATTCCCCATTTTTGGGAGATTTTGGGGCTGAACCCCCTTTTTTGGGGTGGTTTTGGGGCTGAATCCCCATTTTTGGGGCTGAATTCCCCATTTTTGGGAGATTTTGGGGCTGAACCCCCTTTTTTGGGGTGGTTTTGGGGCTGAATCCCCATTTTTGGGGCTGAATTCCCCATTTTTGGGAGATTTTGGGGCTGAACCCCCTTTTTTGGGGTGGTTTTGGGGCTGAATCCCCATTTTTGGGGCTGAATTCCCCATTTTTGGGAGATTTTGGGGCTGAACCCCCTTTTTTGGGGTGGTTTTGGGGCTGAATCCCCATTTTTGGGGCTGAATTCCCCATTTTTGGGAGATTTTGGGGCTGAACCCCCTTTTTTGGGGTGGTTTTGGGGCTGAATCCCCATTTTTGGGGCTGAATTCCCCATTTTTGGGGTGGTTTTGGGGCTGAATCCCCATTTTTGGGGCTGAATTCCCCATTTTTGGGGTGGTTTTGGGGCTGAATCCCCATTTTTGGGGCTGAATTCCCCATTTTTGGGGTGGTTTTGGGGCTGAATCCCCATTTTTGGGGCTGAATTCCCCATTTTTGGGGTGGTTTTGGGGCTGAATCCCCATTTTTGGGGCTGAATTCCCCATTTTGGGGTGGTTTTGGGGCTGAATTCTCCCTTTCAGGGTCTCAATCCCCCTTTTTGGGGCTGAATCCCGCAGATTTGGGAGATTTTGGGGCTGAACCCCCTTTTTTGGGGTGTTTTTGGGGCTAAATCCCCATTTTTGGGGCAGAATTCCCCTTTTTGATGCGGGTTTGGGGCCAAACCCCGCTGGTTTGGGAGATTTGGGGCTGAATCCCCATTTTTGGGTGGTTTTGGGGCCAAATCCCCCTTTTTAGGGTGGGTTTGGGGCTGAATTCTCCTTTTTTGGGTTGGTTTTGGGGCCGAATCCCCTTTTTTTGGGTCACAATCTCCTTTTTTTGGGTCCAAATTCCCCTTTTTTGGGGTCGAATCCCCCTTTTTGGGGCCGAATCCCCTTTTTTTGGGTCCAAATTCCCCTTTTTTTGGGGTCACGTTCCCTTTTTTGGGGTCACACTCCCTTTTTTGGCGAGTCGTGGGCGTGGTTTGTGCGCAGCGGGCGGGGCCGGGAGCAGTGGGCGGGGCTTTGGCGCCTTCAAATGGGTCTGGGGGCGGCGCGGGGCTCAGAGGCCGCCGAGCCCCGGCCCCGACGGGACCCCCGGGCCCCCCGACCCCGACGGGACCCCCGACC